GGTGTGAGCCCCGTGTACCCCAGGGTGTGAGCCCCGTGTACCACACAGTGTGAGCCCCGTGTACCCCAGGCTGTGAGCCTCGTGTACCCCAGGGTGTGAGCCCCGTGTACCAGTGTGAGCCCCGTGTACCCCAGGGTGTGAGCCCCGTGTACCCCAGGGTGTGAGCCCCGTGTACCAGTGTGAGCCCCGTGTACCCCTGGGTGTGAGCCCCGTGTACCAGTGTGAGCCCCGTGTACCCCAGGGTGTGAGCCCCGTGTACCACACAGTGTGAGCCCCGTGTACCACACAGTGTGAGCCCCGTGTACCCCAGGGTGTGAGCCTCGTGTACCCCAGGGTGTGAGCCTCGTGTACCCCAGGGTGTGAGCCCCGTGTACCACACAGTGTGAGCCCCGTGTACCCCAGGGTGTGAGCCCCGTGTACCACACAGTGTGAGCCCCGTGTACCAGTGTGAGCCCCGTGTACCCCAGGGTGTGAGCCCCGTGTACCACACAGTGTGAGCCCCGTGTACCCCAGGGTGTGAGCCCCGTGTACCCCAGGGTGTGAGCCCCGTGTACCCCAGGGTGTGAGCCCCGTGTAACCCAGGGTGTGAGCCCCGTGTACCACACAGTGTGAGCCCCGTGTACCCCAGGGTGTGAGCCCCGTGTACCCCAGGGTGTGAGCCTCGTGTACCCCAGGGTGTGAGCCCCGTGTACCACACAGTGTGAGCCCCGTGTACCCCAGGGTGTGAGCCCCGTGTACCTCAGGGTGTGAGCCCCGTGTACCACACAGTGTGAGCCCCGTGTACCCCAGGGTGTGAGCCCCGTGTACCACACAGTGTGAGCCCCGTGTACCAGTGTGAGCCTCGTGTACCCCAGGGTGTGAGCCCCGTGTACCACACAGTGTGAGCCCCGTGTACCCCAGGGTGTGAGCCCCGTGTACCACACAGTGTGAGCCCCGTGTACCAGTGTGAGCCCCGTGTACCCCAGGGTGTGAGCCCCGTGTACCCCAGGGTGTGAGCCCCGTGTACCACACAGTGTGAGCCCCGTGTACCACACAGTGTGAGCCCCGTGTACCCCAGGGTGTGAGCCCCGTGTACCACACAGTGTGAGCCCCGTGTACCCCAGGGTGTGAGCCTCGTGTACCCCAGGGTGTGAGCCCCGTGTACCAGTGTGAGCCCCGTGTACCCCAGGGTGTGAGCCCCGTGTACCCCAGTGTGTGAGCCCCGTGTACCCCAGGGTGTGAGCCCCGTGTACCCCAGGGTGTGAGCCCCGTGTACCCCAGGGTGTGAGCCCCGTGTACCCCAGGGTGTGAGCCCCGTGTACCCCAGGGTGTGAGCCCCGTGTACCCCAGGGTGTGAGCCCCGTGTACCCCAGGGTGTGAGCCCCGTGTACCCCAGGGTGTGAGCCCCGTGTACCACACAGTGTGAGCCCCGTGTACCCCAGGGTGTGAGCCCCGTGTACCCCAGGGTGTGAGCCCCGTGTACCCCAGGGTGTGAGCCCCGTGTACCACACAGTGTGAGCCCCGTGTACCCCAGGGTGTGAGCCCCGTGTACCCCAGGGTGTGAGCCCCGTGTACCCCACAGTGTGAGCCCCGTGTACCACACAGTGTGAGCCCCGTATACCACATAGTGTGAGCCCCGTGTACCACACAGTGTGAGCCCCGTGTACCCCAGGGTGTGAGCCCCGTGTACCACACAGTGTGAGCCCCGTGTACCCCACAGTGTGAGCCTCGTGTACCCAACAGTGTGAGCCCCGTGTACCCCAGGGTGTGAGCCCCGTGTACCACACAGTGTGAGCCCCGTGTACCACACAGTGTGAGCCCCGTGTACCACACAGTGTGAGCCCCGTGTACCCCAGGGTGTGAGCCCCGTGTACCACACAGTGTGAGCCCCGTGTACCCCACAGTGTGAGCCCCGTGTACCCAACAGTGTGAGCCCCGTGTACCACACAGTGTGAGCCCCGTGTACCCCAGGGTGTGAGCCTCGTGTACCCCAGGGTGTGAGCCCCGTGTACCACACAGTGTGAGCCCCGTGTACCACACAGTGTGAGCCCCGTGTACCCCACAGTGTGAGCCCCGTGTACCCCACAGTGTGAGCCCCGTGTACCACACAGTGTGAGCCCCGTGTACCACACAGTGTGAGCCCCGTGTACCACACAGTGTGAGCCCAGTGTACCCCACAGTGTGAGCCCCGTGTACCACACAGTGTGAGCCCCGTGTACCACACAGTGTGAGCCCCGTGTACCCCACAGTGTGAGCCCCGTGTACCCCACAGTGTGAGCCCCGTGTACCACACAGTGTGAGCCCCGTGTACCACACAGTGTGAGCCCCGTGTACCACACAGTGTGAGCCCCGTGTACCACACAGTGTGAGCCCCGTGTACCCCACAGTGTGAGCCCCGTGTACCCCACAGTGTGAGCCCCGTGTACCCCAGGGTGTGAGCCTCGTGTACCCCAGGGTGTGAGCCCCGTGTACCACACAGTGTGAGCCCCGTGTACCCCAGGGTGTGAGCCCCGTGTACCCCAGGGTGTGAGCCCCGTGTACCCCAGGGTGTGAGCCCCGTGTACCCCAGGGTGTGAGCCCCGTGTACCCCAGGGTGTGATCCCCGTGTACCCCAGGGTGTGAGCCCCGTGTACCCCAGGGTGTGAGCCCCGTGTACCACACAGTGTGAGCCCCGTGTACCCCAGGGTGTGAGCCCCGTGTACCCCAGGGTGTGAGTCCCGTGTACCACACAGTGTGAGCCCCGTGTACCCCAGGGTGTGAGCCCCGTGTACCCCAGGGTGTGAGCCCCGTGTACCACACAGTGTGAGCCCCGTGTACCCCAGGGTGTGAGCCCCGTATACCACACAGTGTGAGCCCCGTGTACCCCAGGGTGTGAGCCCCGTGTACCCCTGGGTGTGAGCCCCGTGTACCCCAGGGTGTGAGCCCCGTGTACCCCAGGGTGTGAGCACCGTGTACCCCAGGGTGTGAGCACCGTGTACCCCAGGGTGTGAGCCCCGTGTACCCCAGGGTGTGAGCACCGTGTACCCCAGGGTGTGAGCCCCGTGTACCACACAGTGTGAGCCCCGTGTACCCCAGGGTGTGAGCCCCGTGTACCACACAGTGTGAGCCCCGTGTACCCCAGGGTGTGAGCCCCGTGTACCCCAGGGTGTGAGCCCCGTGTACCACACAGTGTGAGCCCCGTGTACCCCAGGGTGTAACCCCGTGTACCCCAGGGTGTGAGCCCCGTGTACCCCAGGGTGTGAGCCCCGTGTACCCCAGGGTGTGAGCACCGTGTACCCCAGGGTGTGAGCACCGTGTACCCCAGGGTGTGAGCCCCGTGTACCCCAGGGTGTGAGCACCGTGTACCCCACAGTGTGAGCCCCGTGTACCCCAGGGTGTGAGCCCCGTGTACCCCAGGGTGTGAGCCCCGTGTACCACACAGTGTGAGCCCCGTGTACCCCAGGGTGTGAGCCCCGTGTACCACACAGTGTGAGCCCCGTGTACCACACAGTGTGAGCCCCGTGTAACCCACAGTGTGAGCCCCTTGTACCACACAGTGTGAGCCCCGTGTACTACACAGTGTGAGCCCCGTGTACCACACAGTGTGAGCCCCGTGTACCACACAGTGTGAGCCCCGTGTACCACACAGTGTGAGCCCCGTGTACCACACAGTGTGAGCCCCGTGTACCACACAGTGTGAGCCCCGTGTACCACACAGTGTGAGCCCCGTGTACCACACAGTGTGAGCCCCGTGTACCACACAGTGTGAGCCCCGTGTACCACACAGTGTGAGCCACGTGTACCACACAGTGTGAGCCCCGTGTACTCCAGGGTGTGAGCCCCGTGTACCACACAGTGTGAGCCCCGTGTAACCCACAGTGTGAGCCCCGTGTACCACACAGTGTGAGCCCCGTGTAACCCACAGTGTGAGCCCCGTGTACCACACAGTGTGAGCCCCGTGTACCACACAGTGTGAGCCCCGTGTACCACACAGTGTGAGCCCCGTGTACCACACAGTGTGAGCCCCGTGTACCCCAGGGTGTGAGCCCCGTGTACCACACAGTGTGAGCCCCGTGTACCACACAGTGTGAGCCCCGTGTACCACACAGTGTGAGCCCCGTGTACCCCAGGGTGTGAGCCCCGTGTACCACACAGTGTGAGCCCCGTGTAACCCACAGTGTGAGCCCCGTGTACCCCACAGTGTGAGCCACGTGTACCACACAGTGTGAGCCCCGTGTACCACACAGTGTGAGCCCCGTGTACCACACAATGTGAGCCCCGTGTACCACACAGTGTGAGCCCCGTGTACCACACAGTGTGAGCCCCGTGTCCCACACAGTGTGAGCCCCGTGTACCCCAGGGTGTGAGCCCCGTGTACCACACAGTGTGAGCCCCGTGTAACCCACAGTGTGAGCCCCGTGTACCCCACAGTGTGAGCCACGTGTACCACACAGTGTGAGCCCCGTGTACCACACAGTGTGAGCCCCGTGTACCACACAATGTGAGCCCCGTGTACCACACAGTGTGAGCCCCGTGTACCACACAGTGTGAGCCCCGTGTACCACACAATGTGAGCCCCGTGTACCACACAGTGTGAGCCCCGTGTACCCCACAGTGTGAGCCCCGTGTACCCCACAGTGTGAGCCCCGTGTACCACACAGTGTGAGCCCCGTGTACCACACAGTGTGAGCCCCGTGTACCACACAGTGTGAGCCCTGTGTACCACACAGTGTGAGCCCCGTGTACCACACAGTGTGAGCCCCGTGTACCACACAGTGTGAGCCTATTCAAGCGTGAAGGCTACGAGCGTGTTCCTAGCTGCGTGAGGTTAACCAGGCTGGGTGTGGCCACTGGCTGGATGGTGACCGCCCCGCCCCAGCACGCCGCGAGGGCCATATAAGGTCACCTCCCACAGTTATAACCACAACAAACATATCACAAGTTAACTGTTCATGTGAATATAACAAAAACAAATTATATAAATGTTAGACACGAGGCCTGAAGGAATGTTGAGTCTGGATAAATGGTAGAATGTTTGAGAGTCAAATGTTGCCATAACTACCCCAGGGGTCGTGGTCTGTAACGTTGCCATTACTACCCCAGGGGTCGTGGTCAGTAACGGTGCCATAACTACCCCGGGGGTCGTGGTCTGTAACGTTGCCATAACTACCCCAGGGGTCGTGGTCTGTGACGTTGCCATAACTACCCCAGGGGTCGTGGTTAGTAATGGTGCCATAACTACCCCAGGGGTCGTGGTCTGTAACGTTGCCATAACTACCCCAGGGGTCGTGGTCTGTAACGTTGCCATTACTACCCCAGGGGTCGTGGTCAGTAACGGTGCCATAACTACCCCGGGGGTCGTGGTCTGTAATGTTGCCATAACTACCCCAGGGGTCGTGGTCTGTAACGTTGCCATTACTACCCCAGGGGTCGTGGTCAGTAACGGTGCCATAACTACCCCGGGGGTCGTGGTCTGTAATGTTGACATAACTACCCCAGGGGTCGTGGTCTGTAACGTTGCCATAACTACCCCAGGGGTCGTGGTCAGTAATGGTGCCATAACTACCCCGGGGGTCGTGGTCAGTAACGCTGTCATAACTACCCCAGGGGTCGTGGTTAGTAACATTGCCATAACTACCCCAAGGGTCGTGGTCAGTAACGTTGCCATAACTACCCCAGGGGTCGTGGTCTGTAATGTTGCCATAACTACCCCAGGGGTCGTGGTCAGTAATGGTGCCATAACTACCCCAGGGGTCGTGGTCAGTAATGGTGCCATAACTACCCCAGGGGTCGTGGTCAGTAACGTTGCCATAACTACTCCAGTCCAGGGGTCGTGGTCTGTAACGTTGCCATAACTACCCCAGGGGTCATGGTCAGTAATGTTGCCATAACTACCCCAGGGGTCGTGGTCTGTAACGTTGCCATAACTACCCCAGGGGTCGTGGTCAGCAACGGTGCCATAACTACCCCGGGGGTCGTGGTCTGTAATGTTGACATAACTACCCCAGGGGTCGTGGTCTGTAACGTTGCCATAACTACCCCAGGGGTCGTGGTCAGTAATGGTGCCATAACTACCCCGGGGGTCGTGGTCAGTAACGCTGTCATAACTACCCCAGGGGTCGTGGTTAGTAACATTGCCATAACTACCCCAAGGGTCGTGGTCAGTAACGTTGCCATAACTACCCCAGGGGTCGTGGTCTGTAACGTTGCCATAACTACCCCAGGGGTCGTGGTCAGTAATGGTGCCATAACTACCCCAGGGGTCGTGGTCAGTAATGGTGCCATAACTACCCCAGGGGTCGTGGTCAGTAACGTTGCCATAACTACTCCAGTCCAGGGGTCGTGGTCTGTAACGTTGCCATAACTACCCCAGGGGTCATGGTCAGTAATGTTGCCATAACTACCCCAGGGGTCGTGGTCTGTAACGTTGCCATAACTACCCCAGGGGTCGTGGTCAGCAACGGTGCCATAACTACCCCGGGGGTCGTGGTCTGTAATGTTGACATAACTACCCCAGGGGTCGTGGTCTGTAACGTTGCCATAACTACCCCAGGGGTCGTGGTCAGTAATGGTGCCATAACTACCCCGGGGGTCGTGGTCAGTAACGCTGTCATAACTACCCCAGGGGTCGTGGTTAGTAACATTGCCATAACTACCCCAAGGGTCGTGGTCAGTAACGTTGCCATAACTACCCCAGGGGTCGTGGTCTGTAATGTTGCCATAACTACCCCAGGGGTCGTGGTCAGTAATGGTGCCATAACTACCCCAGGGGTCGTGGTCAGTAATGGTGCCATAACTACCCCAGGGGTCGTGGTCAGTAACGTTGCCATAACTACTCCAGTCCAGGGGTCGTGGTCTGTAACGTTGCCATAACTACCCCAGGGGTCATGGTCAGTAATGTTGCCATAACTACCCCAGGGGTCGTGGTCAGTAACGGTGCCATAACTACCCCAGGGGTCGTGGTCAGTAACGTTGCCATAACTACCCCAGGGGTCGTGGTCTGTACCGTTGCCATAACTACCCCAGGGGTCGTGGTCTGTACCGTTGCCATAACTACCCCAGGGGTCGTGGTCTGTACCGTTGCCATAACTACCCCAGGGGTCGTGGTCAGTAACGTTGCCATAACTACCCCAGGGGTCGTGGTCTGTAACGTTGCTATAACTACTCCAGGGGTCGTGGTCTGTACCGTTGCCATAACTACCCCAGGGGTCGTGGTCTGTAACGTTGCCATAACTACCCCAGGGGTCGTGGTCTGTAACGTTGGCATAACTACCCCAGGGGTCGTGGTCTGTTATGTTGACATAACTACCCCAGGGGTCGTGGTCTGTAACGTTGGCATAACTACCCCAGGGGTCGTGGTCTGTATCGTTGCCATAACTACCCCAGGGGTCGTGGTCTGTACCGTTGCCATAACTACCCCAGGGGTCGTGGTCTGTACCGTTGCCATAACTACCCCAGGGGTCGTGGTCTGTACCGTTGCCATAACTACCCCAGGGGTCGTGGTCAGTAACGTTGCCATAACTACCCCAGGGGTCGTGGTCTGTAACGTTGCCATAACTACTCCAGGGGTCGTGGTCTGTACCGTTGCCATAACTACCCCAGGGGTCGTGGTCTGTAACGTTGCCATAACTACCCCAGGGGTCGTGGTCTGTAACGTTGGCATAACTACCCCAGGGGTCGTGGTCTGTTATGTTGACATAACTACCCCAGGGGTCGTGGTCTGTAACGTTGGCATAACTACCCCAGGGGTCGTGGTCTGTATCGTTGCCATAACTACCCCAGGGGTCGTGGTCTGTACCGTTGCCATAACTACCCCGGGGGTCGTGGTCTGTAATGTTGACATAACTACCCCAGGGGTCGTGGTCAGTAACGTTGCCATAACTACCCCAGGGGTCGTGGTCTGTACCGTTGCCATAACTACCCCGGGGGTCGTGGTCTGTAATGTTGACATAACTACCCCAGGGGTCGTGGTTAGTAACGTTGCCATAACTACCCCAGGGGTCGTGGTCAGTAACGTTGCCATAACTACCCCAGGGGTCGTGGTCAGTAATGGTGCAATAACTACCCCGGGGGTCGTGGTCAGTAACGCTGTCATAACTACCCCAGGGGTCGTGGTTAGTAACATTGCCATAACTACCCCAAGGGTCGTGGTCAGTAACGTTGCCATAACTACCCCAGGGGTCGTGGTCTGTAATGTTGCCATAACTACCCCAGGGGTCGTGGTCAGTAATGGTGCCATAACTACCCCAGGGGTCGTGGTCAGTAATGGTGCCATAACTACCCCAGGGGTCGTGGTCAGTAACGTTGCCATAACTACTCCAGTCCAGGGGTCGTGGTCTGTAACGTTGCCATAACTACCCCAGGGGTCATGGTCAGTAATGTTGCCATAACTACCCCAGGGGTCGTGGTCAGTAACGGTGCCATAACTACCCCAGGGGTCGTGGTCAGTAACGTTGCCATAACTACCCCAGGGGTCGTGGTCTGTAACGTTGTTATGAACTACTCCAGGGGTCGTGGTCTGTAACGTTGCCATAACTACCCCAGGGGTCGTGGTCAGTAACGTTGCCATAACTACCCCAGGGGTCGTGGTCAGTAACGGTTCCATAACTACCCCAGGGGTCGTGGTCAATAACGTTGCCATAACTACTCCAGGGGTCGTGGTCAGTAACGGTGCCATAACTACCCCAGGGGTCGTGGTCAGTAACGTTGCCATAACTACCCCAGGGGTCGTGGTCAGTAACGTTGCCATAACTACCCCAGGGGTCGTGGTTAGTAACGTTGCCATAACTACCCCAGGGGTCGTGGTCGGTAACGGTGCCATAACTACCCAAGGGATCGTGGTCTGTAACGTTGCCATAACTACCCCAGGGGTCGTGGTCAGTAACGGTGCCATAACTACTCCAGGGGTCGTCATCAGTAACGTTGCCATAACTACCCCAGGGGTCGTAGTCAGTAACGGTGCCATAGCTACCCCAGGGGTCGTGGTGAGAAACGTTGCCATAACTACCCCAGGGGTCGTGGTCAGTAACGGTGCCATAACTACTCCAGGGGTCGTGGTCAGTAACGTTGCCATAACTACCCCAGGGGTCGTAGTCAGTAACGGTGCCATAACTACCCCAGGGGTCGTGGTGAGAAACGTTGCCATAACTACCCCAGGGGTCGTGGTCAGTAACGTTGCCATAACTACCCCAGGGGTCGTGGTTTGTAACGTTGCCATAACTACCCTAGGGGTCGTGGTCTGTAACGTTGCCATAACTACCCCAGGGGTCGTGGTCAGTAACGGTGCCATAACTACCCCAGGGGTCGTGGTCAGTAACGGTTTCATAACTACCCCAGGGGTCGTGGTCAGTAACGTTGCCATAACTACCCCAGGGGTCGTGGTTTGTAACGTTGCCATAACTACCCCAGGGGTCGTGGTCAGTAACGGTTTCATAACTACAACAGATGACAACAAAGAAATGAGCGAGTTACTGAGGAAGCAGTACGGATCTGTTTTCAGTGAGCCATTAAATGCACTAAAGATTGATAACCCAAATGAATTTTTCATGGATATGATACCAACATCAAATCACATATCAGACGTCGCCCTATCCCCACTAGATTTTGAAGAAGCCATAAACAGTATGCCTATGCACTCTGCACCAGGCCCGGATTCTTGGAACTCCATATTCATCAAGAACTGTAAAAAACCACTATCGCAGGCCCTTCACATTCTGTGGAGACAAAGCCTAGATACTGGCGTTATCCCTGACATACTAAAAACAGCAGAGATAGCACCACTCCATAAAGGAGGAAATAAGGCAGAGGCAAAAAATTACAGACCGATAGCACTAACATCGCACATCATAAAAATTTTTGAGAGAGTGCTAAGAAGTAAGATCACAAAATACATGGAATCACAGCATCTCCATAACCCCGGACAACATGGTTTCAGAACAGGGCGCTCTTGCCTGTCGCAGTTGCTGGACCACTATGATATGGCATTAGATGCTATGGAAGACAAACAAAACGCTGATGTAATTTACACAGATTTCGCAAAAGCTTTTGATAAATGTGACCATGGTGTTATTGCACATAAAATGCGTTCAAAAGGAATTACCGGGAAAATAGGCAGATGGATCTACAATTTCCTGACTGACAGAACCCAATGTGTAATAGTCAACAAACTAAAATCCAGCCCATCAACCGTGAAGAGCTCAGTCCCCCAGGGTACTGTGCTTGCTCCAGTACTTTTTCTCATCCTCATATCGGACATAGACCAGAACACAACCTATAGCACTGTATCATCCTTTGCAGATGACACTAGGATTTTCATGAGAGTTGGCAACATAGAGGACACGGCAAACCTCCAATCAGATGTTGATCAGGTCTTTCTATGGGCTACAGAAAATAATATGGTATTCAACGAGGATAAGTTTCAGCTCATGCGCTACGGAAAAATTGAAAACATAAAAACAGGAACCACGTACAAAACGCAGGCAAATCATAACATAGAACGAAAAGGCAATGTGAAGGATCTGGGTGTAGTCATGTCGGAAGACCTTACCTTTAAAGAACACAATAAAGTAGCCGTCACAACTGCAAGAAAAATGACAGGTTGGATAACAAGAACTTTTCACACTAGAGATGCTATACCGATGATGATACTCTTCAAGACACTTGTGCTCTCTAGAGTGGAGTACTGCTGCACAATGACAGCCCCTTTCAAAGCTGGAGAAATTGCTGACCTAGAGAGCGTGCAGAGATCCTTTACTGCTAGAATCCACTCAGTAAAACATCTAAACTATTGGGACCGACTAAAGAGCCTAAATCTGTACTCCCTTGAGCGCAGGCGGGAGAGATACATAATAATTTACACGTGGAAAATATTAGAGGGGCTGGTCCCAAACCTGCACACAGAAATAACACCACATGAGACCAGAAGACATGGCAGGAAGTGCAGAATACCCCCGTTAAAAAGCAGAGGTGCAACAGGTACTCTGAGAGAGAACTCTATCAACATCAGAGGCCCGAGACTGTTCAACACGCTTCCACTACACATAAGGGGCATAACTGGCAAACCCCTCACAGTGTTCAAGAGAGAACTGGATAAGCACCTCCAAAGGATACCTGATCAACCAGGCTGTGACTCATACGTCAGGCTGCGAGCAGCCGCGTCTAACAGCCTGGTTGATCAGTCCAGCAACCAGGAGGCCTGGTCGACGACCGGGCCGCGGGGACACTAAGCCCCGGAAGCACCTCAAGGTAGCCTCAAGGTACCCCAGGGGTCGTGGTCAGTAACGTTGCCATAACTACCCCAGGGGTCGTGGTCAGTAACGGTTTCATAACTACCCCAGGGGTCGTGGTCAGTAACGTTGCCATAACTACCCCAGGGGTCGTGGTCAGTAACGTTGCCATAACTACCCCAGGGGTCGTGGTCAGTAACGGTGCCATAACTACCCCAGGGGTCGTGGTCAGTAACGGTTTCATAACTACCCCAGGGGTCGTGGTCAGTAACGTTGCCATAACTACCCCGGGGGTCGTGGTCAGTAACGTTGCCATAACTACCCCAGGGGTCGTGGTCAGTAACGTTGCCATAACTACCCCAGGGGTCGTGGTCAGTAACGTTGCCATAACTACCCCAGGGGTCGTGGTCAGTAACGTTGCCATAACTACCCCAGGGGTCGTAGTCTGATAACCAATAATCTAGGTAAAGAATCTTTAGGTTATCCTCTGAAGATTCCGGGGATCAACTTCCCCCGGCCCGGTCTCCAGCCAGGTAGTTGATCTCAGTTGCTCGTAGTGAAGTGAAAAAGATGATTCCCTCCGGCCTGTGCTCTGGAGTATGTGGGCCTGCGGGCCGCTGCAAGCAACAGCCTGGTGGACCAAACTCTCGCGCAGTCGAGGATCTCTGCACGCTCTCCAGGTCTGAATGGGGCTGTTAGTGTGCAACAGTGCACCCTAGAGAGCACTAGACTGGTGTGGCTGGTGGACGACTGGTGTGGCTGGTGGACGACGACTGGTGTAGCTGGTGGACGACGACTGGTGTGGCTGGTGGACGACGACTGGTGTGGCTGGTGGACGACGACTGGTGTGGCTGGTGGACGACGACTGGTGTGGCTGGTGGACGACGACTGGTGTGGCTGGTGGACGACGACTGGTGTGGCTGGTGGACGACGACTGGTGTGGCTGGTGGACGACGACTGGTGTGGCTGCTGGACGACGACTGGTGTGGCTGGTGGACGACGACTGGTGTGGCTGGTGGACGACGACTGGTGTGGCTGGTGGACGACGACTGGTGTGGCTGGTGGACGACGACTGGTGTGGCTGGTGGACGACGACTGGTGTGGCTGGTGGACGACGACTGGTGTGGCTGGTGGACGACGACTGGTGTGGCTGGTGGACGACGACTGGTGTGGCTGCTGGACGACGACTGGTGTGGCTGGTGGACGACGACTGGTGTGGCTGCTGGACGACGACTGGTGTGGCTGGTGGACGACGACTGGTGTGGCTGGTGGACGACGACTGGTGTGGCTGGTGGACGGCGACTGGTGTGGCTGGTGGACGACGACTGGTGTGGCTGGTGGACGACGACTGGTGTGGCTGGTGGACGACGACTGGTGTGGCTGGTGGACGACGACTGGTGTGGCTGCTGGACGACGACTGGTGTGGCTGGTGGACGACGACTGGTGTGGCTGCTGGACGACGACTGGTGTGGCTGGTGGACGACGACTGGTGTGGCTGGTGGACGACTGGTGTGGCTGGTGGACGACCCCCAGAGGCGGACAGTGGTGCCATTCGGTAAAGATGTCCACCAAACCCCGCCAAATGAAACTATTTGATTTATACATTACAAACGCTACATAAACATATTTTGAAATGGAAATGTGTGGTGAAGGGCCGCGGCCACACGGAGGACGACGGTGTGAGCCGCCGCCATTGTGGTGGTTCTGGCGCGGGCCGCAACCACACATGTCTCTTGGGTGATGGTGTTCCACCAGCCTTAAGTACTGGATAGGCTTCACTGATTTAGCATATCTTCCCTAATAAGGATGAAACGGGGCATTTGTAAGTAATCGATTGGTTAGATGTTAGGAGCACCGTAGACGTGTCTGATCCGGAGGCCTAAGATGCTATTCATTGGTGCTGTGAGACGTTTGGCTAACACGAAGAGAAGAATATGTCAATAATGCGAACCCATACCGTCTTGTTGTGTTGCGGGGGTTGCCAGCGGCCACTATTCCCAGTCAGGGGTAAATGGCATTTTACTCGAATTATTTCGGCCTCTTTCATCCATTGCGAAAATACGAGCAATATTTTACAGGGGCAAATAAATCTGGACAAAGTCTCTAAGTGTATCCATTAAGCTATGACATTACAAACACTGTCATCTCCGAGGAAAAAAAGCGTAATAATTGACGACATGGCAGCATGTACGTCGCTGGAGGCGGCTGGACAGGCGAACGAAACGGGCTGGGAGCGCGACGCCTAACCTTAAACTCATTCCCGTCTCCGACCTAACTCCCTACCTTCCGACCAATCTTGCCCAAGCACCTAGAAAGCCCCAACGCATGTAAACAGGGATATCGAAATCATTTTGCTCTTTCTCTCTTACTTTACTCCCTACAGTCCAGTAACCTAGACCAAATTTCGCCGAGGATATGAGGCGGGGAGGCGAGTTCCGCGCCAACGCAGCGGGGTATTGAGGCTCGCCAGTCACCGGTACCCTCATGCCCACAAAATACCCGCCTGCTTCACCATGCCCACATTTAACATTCATACATACACATAGATAAATGCAATTGTTCCTGCTCGTAGCTGTATGAACTGCAGTTCTTGCTTCTCCACGCTAAGTAGGATAACATGATACATCATATATACCCACTCACATATACCCTACACTGGCTACAGCTGGGATATACACATACAACAGACTGTGGCTACAGCCAGGATACAGAGCGAGGATACATGACTGTGACCAGAGCCAGGATACAGACAGGATACATGACTGTAACCAGAGCCAGGATACAGTCAGGATACATGACTGTAACCAGAGCCAGGATACATGACTGTAACCAGAGCCAGGATACATGACTGTAACCAGAGCCAGGATACATGACTGTGACTAGAGCCAGGATACAGTCAGGATACATGACTGTAACCAGAGCCAGGATACATGACTGTAACCAGAGCCAGGATACAGTCAGGATACATGACTGTAACCAGAGCCAGGATACATGACTGTAACCAGAGCCAGGATACATGACTGTAACCAGAGCCAGGATACATGACTGTAACCAGAGCCAGGATACAGTCAGGATACATGACTGTAACCAGAGCCAGGATACATGACTGTAACCAGAGCCAGGATACATGACTGTAACCAGAGCCAGGATACATGACTGTAACCAGAGCCAGGATACATGACTGTGACTAGAGCCAGGATACATGACTGTGACTAGAGCCAGGATACATGACTGTGACCAGAGCCAGGATACATGACTGTGACCAGAGCCAGGATACATGACTGTGACCAGAGCCAGGATACATGACTGTGACCAGAGCCAGGACACATGACTGTGACCAGAGCCAGGATACATGACTGTGACCAGAGCCAGGATACATGACTGTGACCAGAGCCAGGATACATGACTATGACCAGAGCCAAGATACATGACTGTGACCAGAGCCAGGATACAGAGCCAGGATACATGACTGTGACCAGAGCCAGGATACAGAGCCAGGATACATGACTATGACCAGAGCCAGGATACATGACTGTGACCAGAGCCAGGATACGTGACTGTGACCAGAGCCAGGATACATGACTATGACCCGAGCCAGGATACATGACTGTGACCAGAGCCAGGATACATGATTGTGACCAGAGCCAGGATACAGAGCCAGGATACATGACTGTGACCAGAGCCAGGATACACACCTACACTCCACAAGGATACACTCCTCCACACCTGACAAGTATGGACATCTATGAGACATGTTGGCCACAACATACTGGCCACAACATACTGGCCACAACATACTGGTCACAACATACTGGCCACAACATACTGGCCACAACATACTGGCCACAACATACTGGCCACAACATACTGGTCACAACATACTGGCCACAACATACTGGTCACAACATACTGGCCACAACATACTGGCCACAACATACTGGCCACAACATACTGGTCACAACATACTGGTCACAACATGTTGGCCACAACATACTGGCCACAACATACTGGCCACAACATACTGGCCACAACATACTGGCCACAACATACTGGTCACAACATACTGGCCACAACATACTGGCCACAACATACTGGCCACAACATACTGGCCACAACATACTGGCCACAACATACTGGCCATAACATGTTGGTCACAACATACTGGTCACAACATACTGGCCACAACATACTGGCCACAACATACTGGCCACAACATACTGGCCACAACATACTGGCCACAACATACTGGTCACAACATACTGGCCACAACATACTGGCCACAACATACTGGCCACAACATACTGGCCACAACATACTGGTCACAACATACTGGCCACAACATACTGGCCACAACATACTGGCCACAACATACTGGCCACAACATACTGGCCACAACATACTGGCCACAACATGGCCACATTCCACCATGTTCAGAAGAGGTGACCACATATTATCTTCATAATCCTTCAGAAGGATCAGAAGAAGATGACCCTTCTGAAGATGTATTATTAAACACGAAAGTACTTAAGGAATTTCCTGTCCAAATCCTTCCTTCGTGGACTGACATTGTCCCATAGTTACTCACGTGCTAATTTCCTAGTGATTTACACATACATTATATATATATATATATATATATATATATATATATATATATATATATATATATATATATATATATATATATATATATGTCGTACCTAGTAGCCAGAACGCACTTCTCGGCCTACTATGCATGGCCCGATTTGCCTAATAAGCCAAGTTTTCCTGAATTAACATATTTTCTCTAATTTTTTTCGTATGAAATGATAAAGCTACCCATTTCATTATGTATGAGGTCAATTTTTTTTTATTAGAGTTAAAATTAACGTAGATATATGACCGAACCTAACCAACCCTACCTAACCTAACCTAACCTATCTTTATAGGTTAGGTTAGGTTAGGTAGCATAAAAAGTTAGGTTAGGTTAGGTAGGTTAGGTAGTCGAAAAAACATTAATTCATGAAAACTTGGCTTATTAGGCAAATCGGGCCTTGCCCGATTTGGCTGAGAAGTGCGTTCTGGCTACTAGGTACGACATATATATATATATATATATATATATATATATATATATATATATATATATATATATATATATATATATATATATATATATACACACAATTATCCAGATTTGTTGTAAATAAAACAGACAAATTAAAGACACTTGTCAAAATTATAATACACTCAACTCTCTAGGTGTTTTTCCCTCCAGTAAACAGGATTGAATACTGTAGGACAAAGCGTTGGCGACTTATACAATCGTTTTTTTTTTTTGTAAATATCAAATGTATTTGGTGTTCCATTTTGTATTCGGACACCGGTGAACGGAATTAGTTAATATTTAAGTTGATTGGAGAGGATTTACAGAAAGAGGAATTGATTGGAGAGGATTTAAAAAAAGAGGAATTGATTGGAGAGCATTTACAGAAAGAGGAATTGATTGGAGAGGATTTACAGATAGAAGAATTGATTGGAGAGGATTTAAAAAGAAAAATTGATTGGAGAGCATTTACAGAAAGAGGAATTGATTGGAGAGGATTTACAGATAGAAGAATTGATTGGAGAGGATTTAAAAAAAGAGAATGTGGTTGGAGAGCATTTACAGAAAGAGGAATTGATTGTAGAGGATTTAAAAAAAGAGAAATTGATTGGAGAGCATTTACAGAAAGAGGAATTGATTGGAGAGGATTTACAGATAGAGGAATTGATTGGAGAGGATTTACAGAATGAGGAATTGATTGGAGAGGATTTAAAAAAAGAGGAATTGATTGGAGAGCATTTACAGAAAGAGGAATTGATTGGAGAGCATTTACAGAAAGAGGAATTGATTTGAGCGGATTTATAAAAAGAGGAATTGATTGGAGAGGATTTACAGGAAGAGGAATTGACTGGAGAGGATTTACAGAAAGAGGAATTGATTGGAGAGGATTTACAAAAAGAGGAATTGACTGGAGAGGATTTACAGAAAGAGGAATTGACTGGAGAGGATTTACAGAAAGAGGAATTGACTGGAGAGGATTTACAGAAAGAGGATGCCGGTCATAAGCATAGTGTACTGACCTCCCTGTGCTGTGTGCACTGAGTGTACACACACAGTGTACACACACAGTGTACACACACAGTGTACACACACAGTGTACCCACACAGTGTACACACACAGTGTACACACACTGTGTACACACACAGTGTACACACACAGTGTACACACACACAGTGTACACACACAGTGTACACACACAGTGTACCCACACAGTGTACACACACAGTGTACACACACAGTGTACACACACAGTGTACACACACACAGTGTACACACACAGTGTACACACACAGTGTACACACACAGTGTACACACACAGTGTACTGTGTACTGACGGAGGTACAGACGAGATACCAGGCGTTGTGAGGGCCCCTGCACACCGTCCTACTTTGGGGCCACATGGAGAGCGTCATGTGGCCCCCCTACATGGGAGGTGGTGGTATGTGGTGTCATCACCTCATGGGAGAATACTGTCCAGGGGCCAGATTCACGAAGCAGTTACGCAAGCACTTACCAACCTGTACATCTTTTCTCAATCTTTGGCGGCTTTGTTTACAAGTATTGGCCCATACGAGGCAGCTCCTATTTACATCCATCCAAACTCATTCATATAAATGTCTAACCTACGCTTGAAACAATCAAAGGATCCTACTCCTATTAATGTTACGTTGTAATTGGTTCCACAAATCAACAACCCTATTGCCGAACCAGTATTTACCCAGGTCTTTCTTAAATCCAAATCTGATGGTACATATTTAGGACACAAGTGTCACGTGTGTGTTGGAGGCCACTTGTGCCCCCTCCCCCCACCATCCCAGACCCCCGCCCCACCCCCCACCCACCCCCCACCCACTATGCCACTCCCCCATTTCCAAACTTTTCCCTCCGTCTGTTCCTCTCCATCCTCCTTACTACAAAACAAAAGGTAGTGGTGAGGGTGAGCTGTCCCTCGGGGGGGGGGGGGGGTCTGGGATGGGAGAGAGGGGGTCTGGGATGGGTGGGAGGGGGTCTGGGATGGGTGGGAGGGGGTC